TGTATTTTGTAGCAGCGGACTGAGGTATAAAGTCTAGGTGTGCTATTTTTTACTATTAAAAAAAATTAAAAAAAAACCATAAATTCTCTCGTTTTTTCATAACATCGAGGTGAAAAAATAACTCAGTACAAGTTTCGATTCCCAGCTATCACAGTTTATGATTTTATTTGTTTATAAATGAAAATAAAATGTTCTAATCCTTCAGTTTTCTATTTAACCGAGACATAAAATAATAAGATTTTACTATAAAAGCACTCATTAAACATATTTTATCCTAACCCTTATTAATATGAAGCCGGCTCAAACTCGCAAGTATCATTCTTTGGGATAGATTGCAAGACAGAAAAAATCTTCAACGTTATTCTTATTGAACAAAACATTTTTTCCGCCATTGCAATATATCTCACATAATGGTGTTGATGTTTTTGTTGTATTTGTGTAATAACATTCTTAGGTTGTCAATCAAAGAAAACATTGAAAAATCTATTGTTTTCATCGATGGACAACATTGAGAAATTTATTACTAAACACAATCATTCATTTATCTTTCATTTTCTCTTTCAAGTGAGAGCATTTGTTTAATATAATCTGGGATGAGTTGCAAGTACAAAAAAAACTTCTCTTGGTTGGAACAAATAACTTCTCAAAAATCTGAAAACAATGTAAATATTAAAAAAAATTCTCTTGTTGGAAACAAATAACTCATTTGAGTTGTTCTCGAAGAATTCATTGACAAACTCTTGATTTGTTTAAGTAATTTGTTTTAATATTATGTGTAAATAATATAAATATAAAGAAAAAGCTTTTCCCCTCAATTTTAAACAGAAACCGAGAGGTATGTGGCTTGAGATGAAACATATTTTATTTATTTATATTTAAAAATAAACACAATTTACCTCAGTTTTGAGTTATAACTGAGATAAAATATAAGTGTATTTTTTTCAGTTTTGTTCCCGTCCTTTAATAATTCTTCACCGTGCATTTCATGACTATCAACGCTCAAGACACTGTCATTAGTGATCCTCATGAAACCTACAATCCTTATTATAAAAACATTTTGAATATTTAAATTTAAGAGTAGTGAATTCATAAGAAACCCAAATGTTGTTGTGAAACTCTCTATATTTAATTAGAGTGCCATGTGATTTTACAAAGTAAAAATCACTGTGATAAATTGCAATAGCATAAAAAATTAGGTTTATTTAATATGTGGTTTGTGAGAGAGTATTTACTTTGTCAAAGATTTATGTGATGAATTGTAAATGCAGAAAATTATCATGTGTTCAAGGTTTGTGTTGTTAAATAATCATATAATTGAATATTAATTTTATTTACCTAACCTTTTTTTTTGTTTTATATCAAAAACAAATAAATGCAAAAGCCACAGAGAATATATTGCATTCAATATTTGATCTTCTTCATGATCAATGAAACAAGGATCCCCAACATTTGATATTCTCCAAGATATCCAATATGTTTTCTTCACCGAGAATGATGACGATGAAAAATTACAATGTTACTTTAATATTATGTGTAAACAATGTAATTTGTAAGCAAATTAATTTATTAATATTTTGTGTAAACAATATAATGAGTTTTATTTTTAAAAAAACAAACTATCTAACTCTTCAGTTTTTAAATAAATCGAAATGTATAAGGAGTTGTTTTTGTAAATAATTAAAATGCAGATGTTGGGGTTCAAACACATGATCATATAACTTTACCCCTCAGTTTTTCTTTAACTGAGGTGTTAAGTGGCAACTTTTCATCTCAACCTTCGTTACGTCGCCTTGACAGCTGAGGTTACATCTCTTTCGCATGCGACATCATAAACATTATTTGTAGTAGTGGTGGATAAGAGAAAGTTTAAGTTCTTGTGGTGTCCCTGTAATTTTAGTCTCTAAAAAATGGTAGTTGGAGGATGTGCACATATTGTTGGGCCTATAATTATATTGCCATTAAATATAAGCATCTCAATCATATACTAGATTATTTTTTAGATGAATTGTTTGGTGTATGCTTAATTTCTAAAATTGATTTGAAAAGTGGATATCACCAAATTAGAATAAGGGAAGAGGATGAATGAAAAACTGCTTTTAAAATAAAATATGGTTTGTATGATTGGGATGACTATGCCTTTTGGGTTAACTAACACACTTAGTACTTTCATGAGACTAATGAACCATGTGTTAAAGGATTTTTTTGGTTAGATTTTTTGTTGTGTATATTAATGATATTTTGATTTATAATAAGAACTTAGATGATCATTGTATTCATTTAAGGACTACTTTGCAAGTGTTAAAACAAGAAAAATTGCATGCCAACCTAGAAAAATATGTATTTTGCATCGATTATGTAATTTTATTAGGTTTCATTATGATCATCTAAAGGAGTGCATGTAGACGAGGAAAAGGTGAAATCCATCAGAGAGTGGCCACCTCCCAAAAATGTAAGTGAAATAAGAAGCTTTCATTGCTTGGCTAGTGTTTATAGGAGGTTTGTGAAGAATTTTAGTACCTTGACAACACCCCTTTATAAGATTGTTAGAAAAGATGTTAGTTTTAAATGGGGTGAAAAAAAAAGAGAAAACTTTTTCTACCCTAAAGGAAAAACTCACTCAAGCACTCATTCTTGCCCTACCTAAATTTTCTAAATTTTTTGAAATTGAATGTGATGTATCTAATGTTGAAATTTGAGCTGTTTTATTGTAGAAATGTCATTCAATTGCTTATTTTAGTGAAAATTTAAAAGGGACTGACTTATTTTTTCTACATATGATAAGGCGTTTTATACATTGGTGAAGGCTCTACAAACTTGACAACATTACTTATTGCCCAAATAATTTGTCTTTCATAGTGATCATGAGTCCTTAAAACATTTGAATGGACAATGTAAGTTGAATAAGAGACATGGCAAGTTGATTGATTTTCTTGGAAAATTTCTCTATGGGGTCAAACATAAGAAAGGTAAAACAAATGTTGTAGCAATTGCATTCTCAAGAATGTATGTCTTATTTTCTACTCTTAAAACTAAAGTGTCTAGTCTTAAGCATATTAAGGACCTGTATGCGAATGACTGTGAATTTTTTTCTAAGTTTTTCTCTTGTGAGAATGCTACCCAAAATAGATATTTTAGGCACAATGAGGAGTCTACAAATTTGGAAAAATTACTTGCCCCCACAAAGTTTGTCATTCATAGTAATCTTTAAGAGAATGCTACCCAAAATAGATACTTTAGGCACAATGAAGAGTCTGCAAATTTGGAAAAATTACTTGCCCCCTACAGAGTTTGTCATTCATAGTGATCTTTACTTAAGGCTTATCATTCTTTGTGTGTGTGTGTCTGAGAGAGAGAGAGAGAGAGAGAGAGAGAGAGAGAGAGAGAGAGAGAGAGAGAGAGAGAGAGAGAGAGAGAGAGAGAGAGAGAGAGAGAGAGAGAGAGAGAGAGAGAGAGAGAGAGAGAGAGAGAGAGAGAGAGAGAGAGAGAGAGAGAGAGAGAGAGAGAGAGAGAGAGAGAGAGAGAGAGAGAGAGAGAGAGAGAGTCTTCTTAATCCATTGTATTTTAAGAATTGTTACAAGAGATTACAATAAGAATTACAAAGAATTAGTCTTTTAAACATGTCTTGTTTTTTACCCAAATATTTCTCAATCTCTCATTCTCTCGATGAATGAATTACAAATCCAAGATATTTATCAATTGCATTAGATATCCTATTTTTTTCTTTCAAATTTTTAGAATAAAGAATTATAATCTCTCTATTGTCTCTCTAGGTTTATCCCACTTAAAATTCATTTCATAACTTTTATAAAAAAATGATAAAAAATTACATTTATAAAAATTCGGAACTATTGTCTCTCTAAATTTATCCCACTTAAAATTCATTTCACCACTCTTATAAAAAATATAAAGAATCACAGTTATAAAAATTCGGAACCCAAGAAACTTGATTTATGATTCAAATTTAAAAATATTAAAATATTTATTTTATCTATCATTGTTGTTCTTAGAGATCAAAGTTCTTAATACTCATTATATTAATTTTTACAGCAATATTTTAATCTTTATATAAAAAATAAGGCCGACTGATTTATTTTTATAGGACTAAACTTAAAAATCATTAATTTTTTAGAAACTAAAAGTATATTTGACCATAAACTTAATCAATAAATATAATAAACTTCTTATTTAAATTAAAGCAACAAAGATAATAAAATTTCAAACCACTACTAAATAATCACACTTGTTAGCAGAGAGAGTCTGGTGACAAAAATTTGTACTCTGGTTGAGATATATCATCAAAGCCATTAAGTTTCTCAAATGAATTTGAGTCTTTTCTTATTACTCCATCTCTCATATTATTCTCTTTGAGATTTTCGTGCTTTTTAAAATAATAATTAATTATATTTATTTTAACGATAAAATATATATAATTTATTAAAATGATCATATTAATTTTTATAAAAAATAATCATACTAACAATAGATAGTGAAGTAGTTGTATAAATTAAAAAAATAAATAAGGGTAAACTAGTAGAAAAAAATAATAAATCATGTATTGGTATTTAAAATAGACGATTAATATGAAACAAATAAAAATAGAAAAGAGAACACCTATTATAAAAAAAAAATGTAATATTTTTGCTAAACTTTTTTTCTCTATAATTATTGTAGAGACTAAAAGTGTCAAAACAAAATAAAAAATAAATTCAACAATTAAGTAGTACTATTGCGATGAATTGGTCCTTGGGCATTCAAATATTTTTGGGATATAGCCAAAGCTACCCCATTCTTCCAAATGTGTTTGACCCTATAGAGATCAATGTATTATTGACAAAATAATATTTAATGTTGTATTAATGTACAACATGCAAATAAAAACATTTTTTTCTTTCTAAAATAAAAAACAACTAAAAGAGAACAAGGTAGTAACAAAATGTTACAAACTTAAATGTTACTTACATTACAAACCATAATGGTACCACACTATTGCCAATCAACCATTAGGGAGTTCTCCATTGAAGCTCAATTTGAATCCTTCCATTTTTAGAGTCAATAAGATTATACCTCTCATTGATTCTATTGTTGCTAACAACATCAGATAAATTTATTTCCACATATCCTAGTGTTTCCTGATTAGAACAAGGTATTAACAATAATGTTAAAAACATATATAGTGAAAATAGAACCCTAATCTATTATGCATGAATTGATCTTTAGTGTTTGTTACCTTAGGATGGAGTAGACCTAGCTTTGAGGAGGCACTTATCACTTCAACATAAATCTTCTCGTTTGTGGGGGGTTCATCTAGCGTAAATTCAAATGTTTCACCCCATCTTGGATCTCTATTTTTCCTTACATGCTGTTCAATTTCCATAAGCAATTCTCAAAATAGATTCAATGTATAATTTAGTACAAGAGTTTGATTGTTGATGAATATTCTGTATACTTGAACATCTTATAATATAATACCTTAGTTTTTTTTTCCTCTCCTTTAAATAAGAGTCGCGCAAACGGATTTGTATGGTGTTTTCCTTCAAGATCTTCAGCTTCATGAATGGTAATCACAAGCAAACCACCAGTAGCAGGTGTTCCTTCAGGAGCCTTTTCTATTGCATTTGTGTCTTCTGCATTCTTAGATAACTCATCTTCTTTAAAAGGATTGTACGTAACCTCCACGACGAGCTCTCCTCGTGACTTCTCATTTTCAGGATCATTAGGTTCAATTGTCTTGAGTAATTTTAAAGTAAGTTCATTTGGTTCATTTGGTGTAAGATCTTTCAAGGGAATTCTATTCATACCCATCTTCTCATGCTTCCCAACCTAATTAACCATAAGAAATTAAAGTAACATTCTTGAAAATATGTTACAAGAAACTATTATGCAATGAAATATTAGTTGCTTGATTAGCATCTTCATATACTACCTTTTCCCAGTCAAAAACAGTAAGCATTAAGGCTTGAGATTCTGGATCTTTAATCACCACTTTAAATTCTTCATTCCATTCTGGATTCAAGTTCTTGTATTTCACAGTTGTTTTCTTTGAACCAAGTTTATCGTCTTCAAGTTTAAGTTTCACATAAGGGTCTGATGCTCCCAGTATATCTTTTTTTCTAAGCTTCAATGCTCTCACAACCTTCACATGAAGGATTCCAACTGGCTTTTTCATTGCCCTGACAAATTATACAATAAAGTTAAACAATCAATCTAATTAACACCTAATAATAATGTTATAATAAATTGATTAAAGGAAGAAATAATGATACATACTTTGATGGATCCATTATTTGCACCTCTAATGCTTTAGGCCACAAATACATTTTTGCAACTTGATCTTTTATAATTTCCTGAAATGAAGAGGCAAGAGAAGATATCAATGCTAAAATTTTACACTATAAAAATTTTGCTATTCAGCAAACAATTTAGCGAGCGAGATATATCAGTGTCTTTAACGACTGACTGATTTTCCAAACCGGTCTTTAAATCAGTTGTTAAATGATTTTGCTAAATAAATCACCACTAACTGCTGATGTCTTAGAGACTGATTTGACTATTTCGATCTTTAAATCAGTTGCTAAATCGATCACTATATCACAGTTTTTTTTTTGCAGTGTTACAAGCATGGTATTAATGGAAGTGCTATAGTATATACTACCTGAACAATCCTGTAAAGACCCGGAATAGACATTGCATCAGCTCCAAGCAGTTTTAGTCCAAAATCAACATGTGGCTGCAATCGATGAATCAACATGTAACGCTCAATTAACCTGTTTATCCAAAAAGACCTAAGAAATAAACATCATGTATACCTTCTCCATGAGAGACACGTAAATATTGGCGAAACAAGGAAAACTAGGAACCAAAGGCCTTAGTGTTATGCGCGGAGAAGCAAATACTTGAAGATCAACAACCTGCAATCGTTTAATTTAAAGCATATAAAGATCCTTCAAAATATTTGCATCTTTTGTTGTTAAAAAGGTGCACGAAATGAAGTTACTAATCAAATACCTGAACTGTGGCTCGCAATCCAAATGCTTTAACTGCAACTATAATGTTAGGATTCCCAGCCCATTTCATTGATAATTCCATAATCAATTCCTTTTCATCTGTACTATACACTTTCATTCCTGCCATAGTATATATTTAGGTGAACATAAGCATTATAAGTCTAAAATCTTAACTTATTACACTTGTTCATTGCTGAAAGAGTCATAGTCATGGATCAGATGGAAAAAATTGGATCATGAATGTCAATATTTGAAAAAGATTTATGCAGAAAATGCTCAAAAAAGCTGTTTTCAGTGAATGCTAAAAAAAAGTTATTTGCAAACAAACAACTTCCATAATCATAAACAAGGTCAATACATCACAAGCTTGAAGCAAATTGTGTTGAGACACTCTCCATTCACATTTTAAATATAGCACAAATAACTAAGCCACCAAATCCGCAGCAACCTTAAACAGACGAAATAGATGCCAAAAGGGCATTGCTATACTAAAATCTGAATTCTAACAACCAAACCAATTTGGGCGGAATGAGAAACTTGCTCTGCCCCGTCATTAAATATCCAAACAATGAAACATGATCTCTAGTCAGTCCCATTCCATTCCACCTCGCTTTATTGTATTCCGCTCCATTCACATCAAAATATCCAACATGGTCTAAAATCTATCCAATTACGGATCATTTTTCTAACTTGTGCATACTCATTTCGACTAAAAGTGGTCTCAACATGGTAACATTGGCAGCCACCACCAATAGCACTGTATCCAAAAAAGCCAAAAACTTTTGAGGCTTTTTAACAAACACATTAGATGCAAAATTAAAACTGACTAAAACTAACAAAACAAACAGAAAGCAAAACAAAGTAAACACAAAATCAGCAACAAATACAAAAATTTAAAGTGAAAATAGAACCTTGAAAAGTTGGTGGTAAAGAACCCAAGTTAAGTTCCTCAAATTCAACTGAATCAATTTTATACTTTGGAATTTGTTCATCAATAATTGGCTTTGCTATAGTTCTTGCAGTCTTACAAATTGCCTACAACATCCATTTATTGTTAATTAGTACTAATTCCTCAAAATTGAAATTTCAAAACAATTGCATCAATAACAAATTAAAAATACAAAATTTAATACCTTATTCAAATAAGGCCACATATACTCAACAAATTTATTAAGCCAATCAAGCTGCAAAAAACAACAATATTTTTTAATCAATAATCACATAATAAGTTTTTCAAAAAATGAATAACATACACGATCATAATCTGGATTTTTAATCCAAAGAGGTATCTCTGGTAGCAATTGTTGCACAGTTTTCAAATCTTGTTCAACCAAAGGACTAAATGTAGGTTCCTGAAAAAAAATCATATAAAAAAATAAAGTCATATTAATTTCAATCCAGTCCTTTATGTTAACCAAATTTCAATTTGGTCCATCTGAAAACTAAATTCATAGATCTCATAAAAAAAGAAGTCAACAGCAATAAAAAAAGTGAGAAATTGAAAAAACAATCCAACCTTAACATGAATTGATTGAAAGTATATAAAAATATAATAACCAATGAATAATCCAATTGAAGTTCCAATTCCAAATCCCAAGAAACCAGTTATAGTACTTAAAATTCCCATTTCAAATTCAATTTCTAGCTACAAAAATTGGTTTCATAGTAAAAGTGGAAAGTTTGAAGTGAACAAGTAGTTGTTATGTGGATGAGTGATTTGAATTAAGTTTCTGGAATTGGAAAGAGAAATAATAATTATTGAAAAAACAAGGAACATGAATAATAATAATAATAATAATTATGTTGAAAATGAAATAAAATGGTATTTAATTTCTTTACCTTATATCATATCATAGGCCACTTGATATCCACATATACAGTTGACAACCAATTTGTTATGACTGTCGGCAACATTATTCTTTCAAGATATTTTTTATATTACCATTAATTTAAATATGTGATTCATCTCATTAAATATACTTTTTATTTTAAAAAATTTAATTTTTATTTGGTTTTGTTTTGGTATTTTTAAATATTTTTATATTATTTTTTATCTTTAATTTTTATTATTTTAATCACTGTAAAATAATGGATATTAAAATTCGTTCTTTTAATTTTTAAAATATTTTATTTTTATTCTCTAATACTTGTGATATAAAATATTTTATAAATTACAGATAAATATTAGTCATAATCAATTAATTTTACAAAAAAAAAGTAAAATAAAAGATAAAAGAAAAAAACAAAATAAAAATTATTTTTAAGATACAAAACTAAACAAATTTTTTTATGATTAAAAAAAATAGAGATAGATAGAGTAGCTCATGTAATTCAATTAAATTAGTATAATTGGTTTGTTTAGAATTCAACATCTGATAGATTATTTATTTATATTTAATATTTATTAATGTAAATAAATTATTGATATTTATAAATTAATAAATAAATAAGCATTTTAATAGATAAGTTGTATATTTAATTTAATTTTCTTAAATTTAATTATAACTTGGTATTTCTATTTTTGTTTAAACTCTAAAATAATAAGTCATATATTTTATATTACATTGTATATGAAATGATAAAATTTTAATTTTAATTTTTTAAACTAATCTCCATGGATTATTCCACATATTATCTGATATGCAATTTTATTTAAAATATATGAAATCAGTATTTGTGAGTAGAAAAAATGTTGAAGTTTAAATTTGAGTATTTTAAAGCTATAAGTTCTCCTCAGATAATGATCCATAAAGATAGGTACGCTGTGCTTTCTTTATTGCCTTTTTGGGTTTTTGGCATTTTATTATTCTTTTGTCTTGACTTTGGCCCCTATGTGTCCCAAGCAACATACAAATTCTTATAGTTTATGCCAAAATAAATAATTGCTTCATATATAAAAGCTAAAACACTTTGGAGTCAAAGAGGTTAAAGCATTAGGATTGCATCAAGTTTTATTTTATCAGGGCAAGTGGGTGTTTTTGTTTACTATGTGAACTAATTTTTGGATTTTCCTAAAAGGAATTCAAATAGTACTCTAGAAAAATAACTAAGTGTCTGTTTGGTTGTTTGGTTTGGGTAAATAGAGGAGAGGGGAGAGAATATTTAATAACTTATGTATTTGGTTTAAATTTTAAGAATGGGACCAAAATTCTTCATGAACCACTTTTTGCTTCCTCTCAGTTTGGAGGGATTTGAAGGTGCTTGATTTTAATTATAATTACATTTACATATTTATCCTTATTATTTATTTAAATATAAATTTAACCTATAACAATGTTAAAAGTTTTATTTTGAACAATTTTAATTTATATTTTTTTATATTTTTTTATATTTTTATATCTTCATCTTACTATTATTATATTTGTTTAAATTTTTTATTTTATTTTTCATATTCTAATGTTAATTTTAGTTATCGTAATGTTTTTGTTTATAATAATAGGGGGACCAAAACTGCAATTTAGCCAATTATATATTATAATCGTTGCATTTTTATAAAATATTTAATGATGATTTCTGATTGAATATTTATATTTCGTCAATAAATTTGTATTTGAATTATAAACGGTAAATATCACAAGTCTTATATTAAAATTAGAAGGATAAAAAAGTAAACTATTTTAAAATACCTCCTCTCCCCTTGTGAATCAAACATATTTGTAAATAAAATGTCTCTCCTCCCCTCCCTTTTATATTTTGAACCAAACATATATGTAATTAAAATCCCTCCCCTCCCTTCCCCTCCCCTTGATAAAAATCCCTCCCCTCCCCTCCCCTCTCCTCAATTGAACCAAACAGACCCTAAGGATAAAATGTAGTATTGTTTTATTTTCCCCTAAATATCTTTTTTTTTATACTCTTTATTTTTCTCAAATCTTTTATTTATTTCTTTATTTTTTTTCTCTTTCTTTTCTATTGGTTGTGTCTGGCTTAATCCCAGCAAGCATTGTTCTTGATATATACCTTCAGATTATATAATCTCAAATGTTGTTTAAGGCGTGTATTTGTTGATTTCTCTAGGTTTTACAATTGTTATTTTATTTTTTTATTTTTGCGGGATTAGCCTGCAAACCTTCAAACAATCAAATGTTATTTTTTATTTTTGCACATTTGGAATCAGTTCCTCATAATTTTTAAGAATTCCTTGGATCTCACTTTTTAAATTGATAAGTGTGACTATATTAAGTGTAAAAATATAAACACTTTCCTTGTAAAAATATGATGTAATTTAATTTTAGCCCAAAGGTCTGATGTTTAAGGCATGTATTTGTTAATTTCTCTAGGTTTTACAATTGTTTAGTTCATTATTTCATTTTTTAGTTTTGCGGGATTAGCCTGCAAACCTTCAACCAATCAAATGTTATTTTTTATTTTTGCACATTTGGAATTGGTTCCTCATAATTTTTGAGAATCCCTTGGATCTCACTTTTTAAATTGATAAGTGTGACCATATTAAGTGTAAAAATATAAACACTTTCCCTGTAAAAATATGATGTATTTATTTCTTTATTTTTTTTCTCTTTCTTTTCTATTGGTTGTGTCTGGCTTAATCCCAGCAAGCATTGTTCTGGATATATACCTTCAGATTATATAATCTCAAATGTTGTTTAAGGCGTGTATTTGTTGATTTCTCTAGGTTTTACCATTGTTATTTTATTTTTTTATTTTTGCGGGATTAGCCTGCAAACCTTCAAACAATCAAATGTTATTTTTTATTTTTGCACATTTGGAATCAGTTCCTCATAATTTTTAAGAATTCCTTGGATCTCACTTTTTAAATTGATAAGTGTGACTATATTAAGTGTAAAAATATAAACACTTTCCTTGTAAAAATATGATGTAATTTAATTTTAGCCCAAAGGTCTGATGTTTAAGGCATGTATTTGTTAATTTCTCTAGGTTTTACAATTGTTTAGTTCATTATTTCATTTTTTAGTTTTGCGGGATTAGCCTGCAAACCTTCAACCAATCAAATGTTATTTTTTATTTTTGCACATTTGGAATTGGTTCCTCATAATTTTTGAGAATCCCTTGGATCTCACTTTTTAAATTGATAAGTGTGACCATATTAAGTGTAAAAATATAAACACTTTCCCCGTAAAAATATGATGTAATGTAATTTTAGCCTAAAGGTCTGTTGTTTAAGGCATGTATTTGTTGATTTCTCTAGGTTTTACAATTGTTTAGTTCATTATTTCATTTTTTATCAAATGTTATTTTTTATTTTTGCACATTTGGAATCGGTTCCTCATAATTTTTATTAGCCTAAATGTCAAAACAACCTTGTTTCAACACCCTTGTTTTTGAGAATCCCTTGGATCTCACTTTTTAAATTGATAAGTGTGATTATATTAAGTGTAAAAATATAAACACTTTCCTTATAAAAATATGATGTAATGTAATTTTAGCCTAAATGTCAAAACAACCTTGTTTCAAGGTCTGTGGGAATCGAACCCACGACCACGTGGTTAAAAGCCATGCGCTCTACCAGCTGAGCTAAGACGGCTTGTTATTTAATTTTATTAAAAACTATTTTAGTCATATAAAAGATACAATTGAAAAAATAATTTTAATTATATGAAAGCATACAACGGAACTCCATGCTAATTTCGTGAAGTGTGTTCTTTCAAAACAAAAACAATAAAATAATTGATAAAAAAAATATGTGTTACTATCATTCTTTTGCATGAAGAATGGTTATGGTCTTAGTCTTTTCATTTTAATTTTGTTTTATTGATTAATAAAATATTGCATGTGTGTTATATTTTCATCTTATTGTTGTGTTTGTACATTCTTTTCTTATCTTACATCCTCATATATAAAATGAGTATTCTCATTAATGTAATATAATGGAGAACACAGATAGGAAAAAATGGAAGAAAACAACTATGAAAGTCAAAATTTGGAGAAGCAAGATTGTTAGTAGGTTTAACTAAGGTTTTTCATTGGCTTAAGAGAACAATTGTGATAGATTCCATAACCATATCGTTTTTATTTTTTATATATGTGTATCTATGATGCATATATAATTATTGTGAGAGACGTTTTGTATGTGATACATAAGCATGTAAAATGGCTTATAAAAAGCCCGTGAGATTGATATATAGTTACAGGGAGATCAACAACAACAACAACTGATCTTTGTCCCACACAACTAAGGTCGGCTACTTGGATCAAACTCTTCCGTAATATTTCATCAAAGACAACGCTTCTATCCAATTTGTTAATCTTGATATATCTCTCAACAATTTCTCTTATAGTTAGCACTCATCAAGACTAATATCGTAAAAGTGATTTCTAATGATGTAAAGTAAATTTTATGAAATAGTAAGATATGATGGAATAAAAATAATATTCAAATAATATATTTTGGGTCTAACTTAACAAAAATAATATTGAAAGATTTAGAAGTAAGAGTTGGGAACAATTCATGTGATGAATTAGAATAAACAGTTGTCTCAAGAAAAAGTTAAGGATTGTCCTCAAGCACGAAAAAAAGTTGTATGTTCTCGAGGGGATCCTTTATGAAGAGGAACCATTAAATAATTCTACCTTGGTTTAAATGGACGCTTATAAAAAAAACATGTTAATGAAGTCGTGGAAGTTTCATGCCTCATGTTGGCTACCATG